GGGGGGACCCATTCATCTACGGGAGTGCATCTTTGATCTCTTCTCGGCACTTGAATAAGGAGGTTTGGTGGTGTGGTGGTTACACATTGGGCTGCTACCCACAAGGTCAGCAGTTCAAAACCACCAGCTGTTCTTCTGGAGCTTTCTACTCCCACGAACAGTTCCTGTCTTGGAAACACCCAGGGGCAGTGCCACCCCGCCTTGGAGGCTGCTATGAGTCAGAACGGTCCTGACGGCAGTGAGTTGGGTCTTCAGTTTGAGGGATTGGCGCGGATCATGGTGGTGGTTGGTGCCCTGGGAGGCAGTTCCGACTCATAGCGGCCCTCTGTACAACAGAAGAGAACACTGCGAGTCACAGGTCAAGTGATGGCAGTGGGAGCCTCTGGTGACCTATCTGGACACCTTTTATCCACCCCCACCACACATGCACCCCAACTTGCTCTGGCTTCAGGATTCACATCAGCAGTCCCAGCCACTGGGCAGCGAGAAGTTCCCTCTGGCTAATCACAAAGCAAGTACCCACGCACAGCTTGTTCTTCTTGTCTTTCTCTGGAGTCTAGACAGTAACTAGAATGACTTCTTATCCAGCACAGAGCCTACCAAGACGACATGGAGAGTCTTAGTAATTCCTTAAGAGGACATTTGACAATCCTTGTGCCCTATGCCCTGTTCCTAGGTAAGGAGCCCTGGTGGCTCCACAGCAAAGCGCTCAGCTGTGTCCCGGAAGGTTGGCTGAACCATGTTACTGTTCGTGCCTTTGAGATGGCTCTGCCCCATAGCGACCCCCTGCACCACAGAAGGACAGCAGCCTGGGCCTGCGCCATCCTCACAATTGCTATGTTTGACAAAAATATCCCTGGAGTATAATTTATTTAGTTAGCTAAGACATCCCAATCGACTCCCCAGCAACTAACACCCTTGTCTTATACATATATTAATTTATTTTTAACCAATACTTTTCAGTCACAGCCCATGAGATATCTTAAATGCAAACAAAAGTTAGAGCATTAATTCCCAACCATGGGTCTTGCCACATTTTACCTTAATAAACGTCAGGCTTTACTGCAGAATGTTAGCAAATCAAGTCCCATTT